CCCTCGCAATGTTTTAGTTGTATTCCCTTTGAAAATGAGGGGTCATTTGTCAAAATCCGACTCTCCGTTCAAAAGTTATAGCCAAAATAAGATTTTCTTCTTCTTCCCAAAATGAAAATTTTATTCTGTTTGTCAGTTTTTCAGTTTGTCCAAATCCAGTTTGTCGATATAAAAAACTTTTGTTCTACCACTTTTGGAAAAACCCGCTAGTTTAGCGGGAAAACAGCTATAAATAGCTAAAATTCGGAAAGCCGTAACTTCTATAGTACTAAAGCTACAGACTTGTGCTGCATCTCGTTTGAAAGGTATTCTATATGCAATTTGTGTAAATGTAATAGTTCAAAAGATATGAACAAAAGAAAATTTGTTTAAACCTTTTTTTTTTAGCTTTTTTTTAATTTTCTTAAAAACGGCTTTAACGATTTTCCTTACAACTTTAAACTGTATAGTCCTTGAGATTCCTTAAATTTTGGTATATATCATGTTTATGTAAAAAATCGCGTTTAAAAGTTATTCAGAAACGAAAATAGCCACTTTTGCCAGCTCCGAACAACTAACGCTCCCTGAGTATTGAATTTTGTGGGAGGGTATCCGAACTGTATTTTAGGGTCATGGAATCAGTAAATTTGCACTTAAGAGTTCCATATAGGAATCTTTTGTTCTACGACTTTTGGAAAAAGCCGCTACTTTAGCGGAAAAAGCTAAAAATAGCTAAATTTCGTTAGTTTGTAAGTTCTACACTACTAAAGGTACAGACATGTGTTATACCTCGTTTAAAAGGTATTTTGAAATACTTCAACGCCTTTTTAACTTAATTTGTTAAAATACAATAGTTTAAAAATTATGATTGACCAATTTAAATTTAAATGTATATATTAGCTCCTATGAGAGCAAATGTAAACAAACAAAAACTTCTGATATCAAATAAAAACACCTCTTAACGAGGTAAAAAACTAGTGACGACCGCACCTTCAACATACAAAAGTTCTGATATCAACATTTGTGACGAAAAATTATTACACTCGTCATTAAAAAGACTTTCTAATCTTTTCTCATTCGTCACGCTGCAATAGAAAATGCCTGTAAAGGGAAAAAGGCTAGAATAGTTTGCTAGGGCGGGCCGAATGAGAAAAGATTAGAAAGTCTATTTAATGACGAGTGTAATAATTTTTCGTCACAATTGTTGATATCAGAACTTTTGTATGTTGAAGGTGCGGTGTCACTAGTTTTTTACCTCGTTAAGAGGTGTTTTTATTTGATTAAACTATATAACTATTATCATAGTGTCTACAATGATAATATTAATTTATTTTACTCAACATTTTTCAAATAATAATAAGAATGAATGTGGGATTCAACAAAATTATAGAGAAAAGCCACGGCAAGACGATTAAAATATTTGATCACATTTATCAAGGAATTACATTAAATTACAAAGAAAACTATTATTGTTTTTTACATTTTTAAACATTTTCTGTGAAATAAAATAATTTGATCGTCGGATCGTGGCCTAAAAAATAATAAAAAGGTTAGTGATAAAATAAATTTGGTCTTTTTATAATCTTTATTTCAGCGTTACAAAGGTTAGTATCACAGATATTTTCGCCATTAATAAATATACGCCTCCGGATGCTATCTTCAACACAAATTCTGCATTTCAGTGACACTTGAAATGTTTTTAATCTTTACCAGTGGTAAATGGTGTGAGGTGTTCATTAAATGGTTGTATAAATAGTACTTCAGTACTAACTTAGTTGTTTAAGTTAATCAAAATATTACATTTATTTCAGCCAGGCCGACTGAGACTTCTTGGGACCAGAAGTGTTGCGCCTGCGTTTGTCATATTTTCTATTTTTTCTTCTCATAGTTTTTGATATAGATACTCGACATAAAACAACTGAACAGAAAGTAAATGATCGGCCATGGCAAACCAGGCATAATTTCTGGAGAGATCCTTTAATTTTGTGCGGAGACCTAATAATATCTAAATTATTTTTGATATTTTCAGAAGACAGACAAGAAATGGATACCTAAGAAGTGCATTCGGCCAAGCAAACCCCGGGAATGCTTCAGGCATTAAACATTTTTAGTTCCAATGCTTCGATTGTAAATATTATTAATAAATACACAAACAAATATTACAAAAAACATAATTTTTATTGTGGAAAATCAGATACTGCAAAGCAGTGCAAAACCAAAACTGCGAGGGTCTGGAAAAACCAAAACTGGGAGGGTGTAGAAAAGCAGATATTGCAAGTGGAGGAAAACCATAACTGGGTACGTGTGGAAAATTTATAATGCGGGAAGTCGAAAAACCAGAGGATTTTGTCCTGCATTCTTCTGCCAGAGATCCAGATAGAAACCTCATTTCCCCCTTACTTTTTGTGTCACTCCCGTGTATTTTAAAACCAGAGTTGGAAGAAATGTAAGGGGTGAATGGGGTTTTGTCCCTTCCGCTTCTATGGAGAAACCTCTTGAAAATATGTTATTTTCCAGAGGAATTTTCCCGGTGGGTTGCGGTCGTATCTTTGGTGTGTGCGGTACCATTACATATACACTAGTCGGCATAATTATTTTGACAGATTTGAATGTTAACTGTAGTCACATTTTGAACTTTTAATATAAACTGTTGGCACCTATAGAAAGACCATTTTAATTCCGTTCAAATTACACAAAAATGTTCTTAACCGATTAAGACCCCTTTGAAAAGTGAGCAAATTTTGTGAAAGTCAAACTTTTTTCCTGGGGCTTAAAACAAAAATGTTTTGATGCAAAGTTTTTCCCCAATCAAAATTAATAATAACTGCAAAAACAAATTTCCAATTATTTTTCCTTGTATTTTTTATGATTTTTTGAATGGAACGAACTCAGTTAAATTTTGTATGAAAAGGTTGGAAAAACGGCTAAAATTGTCATTCTTAGCTATTTTCAAAAAATCATAAAAAATACAAGAAAAAATATTTTGAAATTTTTTTTTGCAGTCATTATTAATTTTGATTGGGGAAAAACTTTGCATCAAAACTTTTTTGTTTTAAGCCCCAGGAAAAAAGTTGAAAATTTGACTCTCACAATAAATTTTCTAATTTTCTAACTTTTCAAAGGGTGCTTAATGGGTTAAGAACATTGTTGTATCATTTAAACGGAATTGAAGTGCTCTTTCTATAGGTGCCAAAATGTTTCTATTATAAGTTCAAAATATGAGAAGATTTAACTTTAAAATTTGTCAAAATAATTATGCCTACTAGTTTAAACCAGAATTTTAATGTTGAATTTGCCGACAGTGCCTCGTTTATAACGCTCCTACATGTTTATAACTTTTTTCAATTAAGCACCATCTTAAAGTCAAATATTGAACAAGAGAGAACTCAATGGTCGAATGCCTCGACTTTTAGATACCCGTTACTCAGGTAAGTTACAATAAAACAAAAAAAAACTACCGCGACGGCGCCTCCCAGCGGCAGTAGCGGAAGGCTTCGGAACCGCTCGATCGTGCAAAGCAGACATGTAGGCGCTCAATAGGTTTTAGTGTTAATTATTTAAAAATTGTAATAATTCGAAAGGTATTGACGAAAAATACATTTCAGCTTACATTTTTATTTTTTGGGGGCGGCACCTTAATTTTGTGTGCACCTTGATTAAACAAACTTGCAATGCGGAGGGACCCCTAGAAAATGAATGCTTAATGCCAATCTTCTAGCTTTTATAGTTTATCTCAGCGTTCATACAGACTGACAGACGGACATGGCTAGATCGACTCGTTTAGTGATCAAGATAATATATACTTCATGGGGTCGGAAAAGTTTCATTTTTTCCTGTTACATACTTGTTCACGAATATTATATACCCTGTTACTCTTTGAGTAATGGGTATAATTACATTGCCCATATCCGTAAATTACTCTATACTTTTCAAGATCGCTTTTTCCTCACACTAAATGTGCATACTTGAATTTATTTGTATATATATATTATGTATGGGTCATTCTTTGGAGAACCGGACCCATTAATCCAAATATTGGTTACATGTTTTTCCTAATTTTGTATATGAAAAAACTTGTAAATACGATAGAACAGCCAAAGCTAAACATTTTTTAATGAATTTTTTAGGAGAAACACTTTGGGCTAATTGCTACTAATACCTTTTTTTTTTAAATATCATGCTAAATAAGTAAGAACAAAATTAAAAACAAGAGAGAACGCTATAGTCGGGCTGGTGTCCCGACTATCTAAGACCCGATGTATATATACATTTTTTTTGATTGCACATAACTTTTTAATGAATGGTCCGATTTGAAAAATGTCTTCTACATTTCGATAGGTAAAAAAAACTTAACAAAATTGCATTTATACTTCTCGGAAATCTTTAAAGGTATGGGCGCCAGACACATTTTAAAATCGTTGTTTGGCGATTGTGGGCGTAGGAAGCCCAATAATATGTGTGGGAAATCTCAACCTTCTAGCTTTTGTACTTTCCGAGATCTCAGCGTTTATCCAGACAGACAGACGGACAGACGGACATGGCTAGATCGACTCGGTTTGCACAAATACAATATACCCTTTTACTCTTCGAGTAACGGGTATAAAAAATGGAAAGAAAAATTATGTTTCTTAGGCTTAGTACTCAACCCAACAAAAAGTCGTCTAAAACAAAAAACTTCATATGAAAAATAACGTCAAAAAATTTTGTTTCATATGAAGTTTTTGTTTTGGACGACTTTTTGTTGGGTTGAGTACTAGCCCTAAATATTTAAAAAAAATGGATGGAAAAAGTTTGTTTCTAAATTTAAAAATTAGGTTTTGAAAAAGTATAAGCTCCAATTTTTGTTATACAAAACCAATTTAAAAAAATTGTATTTTTTTAGATCTGTGTTCTGTTTTGAGTGGGCATTTTTCAAAAGAATAACCCATTCTTTGATATAAATATATATATACATATGTGCGTGCTCACGTATATAAGACCATACGTCCCCGTATTTGGATATAAAGCTTTAGATATAAACTTCTGTGTTAAATTGTATTTAAAAGATCTGGAAATAAATAACAGCTTATTTTTTTGTCTTAAATACCAATAAAACTAATCCTGAAAATGATTATATCCATATCTTATTTTATTCTCATTATTGGAATTACCATTGTAACGATTTCATATGCAACCCTATTTTTAAAGTGTAAAAAAAAGGCGTTTGTATCAAAAGGACTATATAATCAAGGAAAAGACGTTCAAGTGTTTGATCAGGCTCCTGGACCACATCCCTGGCCAATAATCGGGAACTTAGATTTACTAGGTCGATTTCAGTATAACCCTTTTCAGGGCTTTGGTGCTTTAACTAAAAAATATGGTGATATTTACTCCATAACTCTTGGACACACTCGCTGCTTAGTAGTGAACAATTTCGATTTAATAAAAGAAGTGTTAAACAAAAATGGAAAATACCTCGGCGGACGTCCGGACTTTGCACGGTATCATAAGCTATTCGGCGGTGATCGAAACAACTGTAAGTTTATCAAAGTCTTTCCCAAACGGTTTAAAACCCATTTTTAGTGAGCGATGGTTAATGACACTAGGGACCGAAAATAACAGTTATTATAGCCTTGCAGAGGGTATTAAAATGTCAGTCAAAAGTTTGCAACGCAGTGAAGGAGACGTTTGTGACCACATAAAGTATATATATTCTTGATCAGCATCAATAGGCGAGTCCATCTAGCCATATTCGTCTGTCCGTTTCTATGCGAACTAGTCTCTCAGTTTTAAAGCTATCTTGCTTAAAACTTTCCCAAAAGTCTTCTTTATATTGCGGGTAGTACATATGTCAGAACGATGTCTTTCGATTTATGCAATAAACTCCTATCGGGGAACTTTTTATATCTCGCAACAAATAACAGTTATTCAAAAGAATGACTGTATTCTGAAAGAATGACTGTAATTTAGAGGCCTGTTTTCTCGTCCGTTTGTTAAATTTAAAGTAAGGTTAAAACCTTAAAATCGTATGGAGCATCAGAGTTTTAACCCTACTTTAAATTTAACAGGAGGACGACGAAACGGCCCTGAGACTTTTATTTTACTTGTCAGAGAATAACAATTATCGAAAGACTTTTGTTATACTGACCGATGTTTTCGAAAGACTTTTAAATCATATATCTGTCAGTGTTATTTATGTTTGTGATTTATATTGGCAGTAATTTTTCTCCTGATAGAAAGTCTTAGTGTCACATTCGGTGTCACTTCTAAATAACTTCCAGTAGTGCCGACGTAGTGGAATATTCCGGCGTGGGTGAATTCGGCGATCCGAATGCGATATCGTAGAAGTCACTTGTCGACGTGTCGCCGAAGTCACTTCTGGAAATTATTCAGAAGACACTTGTAGAAGATACCTAGAAGACCTTTTCCCAATTGCAAAATGGTTAAAAGGTAAATGTGTTTTTGTACCATTTTCATACTCGTTACTCGTAGAGTAAAAGGGTATGTTGTATTCGTGCAAAAGTATGTAACAGCGTTTCCGACCCCATAAAGTATATATATTCTCGATGAGGGTCGATCTAGCCGTATCCGTCTGTCTGTCTGTATGAACGCTGAGATCTCGGAAACTACAAAAGCTAGAGAGTTGAGATTTCCCACACATATTCTTGGGCTTCCTACGCAGCGTAAGTTTTTTCAGCCGAGCGCGACGCCCCCTCTAACGCCAACAATCGCCCACTAAGGATTTTATCTGAGTCTGGCGCCCACACCTTTAAAGATTTCCAAGTATAAACGCAATTTTTTTGCATATATACAACATATATATATGTATACCTTTCGAAATGTAGAAGACATTTTTCAATCGGACCACCCGACTATAGCGTTCTCTCTTGTTTTCATTTTATTCGTTCAACACATTTATTGAAATATATAATTACTGAATGAGTCCACGTGAATGACAAACAAATCATTTTTGATTTCAGTTAACTAGGATCACCTGTTTCACTTGATTTTTTTCATAAGGAAAAACAAGTGATACAATATAAAATAAAATGAGTTAAAATAATTAAGAATTCTATCTCTCCCACTCACTTTTACTCTGTGCTTGTATCACTTGTTTTTTCTTACGACTGATCAAGTGAAACAAGTGATTCAAGTTAACTTACTTGAACTCACTCACTTTATTTTCAAAAATTGACTTGTTTGTCAATTCAAGTGGACTCATGCAGTAGGGGAGAAGCGGGCTTAAATAGTACAAGGGCAACAATAGTATGTGGCCCTAGCGGCTAAACGGCCCGTTAAAATTCGCGCCGTGTTTACTGAAGGTTCCTTAGAACATCAGAGGGCTGCATTAAAAATTTGAGCTTAAAGCGACATTAGTTGAAGAAATTACGAACCAATTTCCGTCAATGTCAAATTCCTAAAAATCGTCTCATTCTGTTGGGGATACTTTATTGGACTTTGGTCGCTCGCGAGATTTTTTGAAGAAATTATTTTCTGAAGGCCAACTTCATGTCCAACGCGTTTCTCTTACTAAAATGTTGGTATGGTAGGCATTTTTAAAAGCAAAAAAAAGGTTGCAAAAAAAAAACCACAACAAATGTACTCAATTTTAAATCAAAGGATTATAATCCAATAAAATTTTTAAAATTAACTCTCTTGCCCTATACCGTTTACTGCGAAAGTAAGTTTCGAACTGTTATTACCGCAGTATTGGGGCTAGGCCAGTTTAAAAAGTATATTGACATTTTGCAACGTTCCTCGAAGGCATTGGAATTGACTTCAAAATTATGTAGGAAAAAGTTATAGCCAAAAGAACAGCCTTTTCGGTGATACCAGTTTCATTCCAATGGCTATTTATTTATATGCTATGTCTAACCAAACTTATCCTCCTATGAGTCCCCTTTTCCCCTACTCCACTTGTTTGATTACACTAGTTTACAGCAGAAATGCTCCCCAGCAATTGATGGCAAATTCTGTTAGTTTTAGACCCCTAGATCACGAAAATATAACTAATTTTTTTTTCGATGGCACAGTTTTTTTTTTAAGATTTTTTAAAGTTTGAAATGTTAAATTTCGGACTTTTTTCGAATTTCTTCTTATATCTCGCCAGATATCCATTCGATTGGGCCAGTTTTAGTTTTATTTTAAAGTCCAAAAAAAAATTATAAAACCCTATTTCTGTCTCTCAGTAACAGAAAAAAACGGAGACTTTTGCTTTCCCCTTACTAAAGATCTGTCTGTCTGTCTGTCTGTCTGTCTGTCTGTCTGTCTGTCTGTCTGTCTGTCTGTCTGTCTGTCTGTCTGTCTGTCTGTCTGTCTGTCTGTCTGTCTGTCTGTCTGTCTGTCTGTCTGTCTGTCTGTCTGTCTGTCTGTCTGTCTGTCTGTCTGTCTGTCTGTCTGTCTGTCTGTCTGTCTGTCTGTCTGTCTGTCTGTCTGTCTGTCTGTCTGTCTGTCTGTCTGTCTGTCTGTCTGTCTGTCTGTCTGTCTGTCTGTCTGTCTGTCTGTCTGTCTGTCTGTCTGTCTGTCTGTCTGTCTGTCTGTCTGTCTGTCTGTCTGTCTGTCTGTCTGTCTGTCTGTCTGTCTGTCTGTCTGTCTGTCTGTCTGTCTGTCTGTCTGTCTGTCTGTCTGTCTGTCTGTCTGTCTGTCTGTCTGTCTGTCTGTCTGTCTGTCTGTCTGTCTGTCTGTCTGTCTGTCTGTCTGTCTGTCTGTCTGTCTGTCTGTCTGTCTGTCTGTCTGTCTGTCTGTCTGTCTGTCTGTCTGTCTGTCTGTCTGTCTGTCTGTCTGTCTGTCTGTCTGTCTGTCTGTCTGTCTGTCTGTCTGTCTGTCTGTCTGTCTGTCTGTCTGTCTGTCTGTCTGTCTGTCTGTCTGTCTGTCTGTCTGTCTGTCTGTCTGTCTGTCTGTCTGTCTGTCTGTCTGTCTGTCTGTCTGTCTGTCTGTCTGTCTGTCTGTCTGTCTGTCTGTCTGTCTGTCTGTCTGTCTGTCTGTCTGTCTGTCTGTCTGTCTGTCTGTCTGTCTGTCTGTCTGTCTGTCTGTCTGTCTGTCTGTCTGTCTGTCTGTCTGTCTGTCTGTCTGTCTGTCTGTCTGTCTGTCTGTCTGTCTGTCTGTCTGTCTGTCTGTCTGTCTGTCTGTCTGTCTGTCTGTCTGTCTGTCTGTCTGTCTGTCTGTCTGTCTGTCTGTCTGTCTGTCTGTCTGTCTGTCTGTCTGTCTGTCTGTCTGTCTGTCTGTCTGTCTGTCTGTCTGTCTGTCTGTCTGTCTGTCTGTCTGTCTGTCTGTCTGTCTGTCTGTCTGTCTGTCTGTCTGTCTGTCTGTCTGTCTGTCTGTCTGTCTGTCTGTCTGTCTGTCTGTCTGTCTGTCTGTCTGTCTGTCTGTCTGTCTGTCTGTCTGTCTGTCTGTCTGTCTGTCTGTCTGTCTGTCTGTCTGTCTGTCTGTCTGTCTGTCTGTCTGTCTGTCTGTCTGTCTGTCTGTCTGTCTGTCTGTCTGTCTGTCTGTCTGTCTGTCTGTCTGTCTGTCTGTCTGTCTGTCTGTCTGTCTGTCTGTCTGTCTGTCTGTCTGTCTGTCTGTCTGTCTGTCTGTCTGTCTGTCTGTCTGTCTGTCTGTCTGTCTGTCTGTCTGTCTGTCTGTCTGTCTGTCTGTCTGTCTGTCTGTCTGTCTGTCTGTCTGTCTGTCTGTCTGTCTGTCTGTCTGTCTGTCTGTCTGTCTGTCTGTCTGTCTGTCTGTCTGTCTGTCTGTCTGTCTGTCTGTCTGTCTGTCTGTCTGTCTGTCTGTCTGTCTGTCTGTCTGTCTGTCTGTCTGTCTGTCTGTCTGTCTGTCTGTCTGTCTGTCTGTCTGTCTGTCTGTCTGTCTGTCTGTCTGTCTGTCTGTCTGTCTGTCTGTCTGTCTGTCTGTCTGTCTGTCTGTCTGTCTGTCTGTCTGTCTGTCTGTCTCCAAGACAGCTTGCAAACTCAGTAATTCGTAGATTACTGCACCAATACGCATCTTGCGATAATTTAAAGTCATTACAAGAATTGTGCCTCGTCAACAACCGGAAGGTTATCGTCATGTGAATTCTGTAAAAAGGAAGTCCATCCGCTATACAGATGTGAAGACTTCCGATCAAAGTCCACATCCCACATCTGAAAGATTAAATTGGGTACTTACACAAACAATGTGCGTCAAGTGTTTCAGCACTGAGCACAGAACATGCAGTCGAAAGTGCTTTAGATGCAAAAAAAATCTCCGTACTCTTCTTCATCTTGAAAATACCGTAGAGTCTTGTACGCCAATTGTTGGGGCGGCGAGTAATAAAAATGATAATTTACTCGCCATGGCCAAGGGTGCATTACAGGCCAACAATGGGCAATGTGCCAACTTTAGAGCACTACTGGACTCCGGATCACAAAAAAATTTGATTACAGAGCGAATGGCTTCAATGTTATCATTGAAGCTCCATAATGCCATATTACGAATTGAAGGCATTTGAGGACTACCGAAAACTAGTAAAGCGCAAGTCAACATACTAGTTAAATCACTTCATAATGGTTTCACACAACGGATTAA